CAGTACCATGCGCCAACTTGAAAAACGCGCTCGTGAACACTATCCAGCCTGACTAGTAAAAGGAGACCAAAAACGTGTTTACAATTCAGTGACAGAGCATCTCATTGATTCAGGACATTCAGCGACTTTCGAAAAATCCTTCAAAGTAATATACAAGATTCAATCAAACCTATCAAAGGGAGTGAAATTAGGACGTCTGGACATAGCCGAGACACCAGCCATCCAAAAGCTCAAACCCATGCGATGTATCCAAAAGAAATACGTTCAACCCTTGTCCCTGCCGTAGCCATCATAAACAGGTAATTTTTTTAGTTATGACCACCCCATCGCCCTTCTTATCCAAACTTCCTCTTTATTCATGTTATTTCCAAGTTTTTCTTAATCCCTATTTACACTACCACATTTTCATATCCAAACTTCCTGTCTATTTTGTCATTTTATTATTTCTACATACTTTATCCCTGAATCCATAAACAATTATTCATCACATTATTTTTTTTATCCAAACTTCCTGTCTATTGTTGTTATTTCTACATTTCTAACCCCCAATTGCACACTACATTAATCTTCCCAGTAATTAAGATGCTACTTTGTTTGAGTTTTATCCTTCCCCCTGTTTATTAAGGCATTTTAATTCCTAACTGTAATTTTTATTAATTCGACCATTAACCGGGAATTATTCTGGAACTTTCCCATCCATTTGATATAAATACACGAATGCAGCGCCTAGATGATGACTTCGTCGAAAATTTGATATATAAGTTGATATGACTGGCACTAGTAATAATGCTGCGAATAGGGTTTTATAAAAGAAGGCAGTGAGTAACTTGTCTGATGAACGAATATGAATACCTATTTCTAATCACTCCTGACCTCCCATCCAACATCTCCAGAGGTGGAAACCTGGATTGGTCAAAGCCAGCGAGATTTAATCGAATAGTTTCACAATAATTGGGTGCCGAGTCAGAAGTAGACATATGCAGAAATTATATTTGTAAAAATCTCAACGAGATTGAAATGATTAATTCCAACGTTTTGTTCGGCAATCTGCTCCGAACTTTTTTCAGGGAAATTAATCTAAATTAAAATAACAGAGGTTTACTTATAAAAAGGACATCTCTTGTTTTTAAAAACTTTCTCCAGTAAGGTCTATCCAGATGTTGCGGGTGAGGATGGATATCCCACATACGACAATGCCTGGGGTCGTCCTAAATCACGAATTGGTAGAAGTTAGTATTCATAGGCCATTGAATCGGGTCCCAGTGACTGAATGGAATATGAGCTTGCGGGTGTACTCCTCAACAGTTTGCTCCGTCCTCCTTTATGGCTGTGAGACCTGGCCATTGAGAGTGGAAGACATGAAAAGATTACCTGCCTTTGATCATAGGTGCCTGCGTTCTACCTCCCGTGCGACGTGGTATAATAAGGTGAGCAATATTGAAGTTAGGCGTCGAGTGCTAGGTAAGCAGGGGAAATCAATCGACGAGGCTGTGAAATTACATCGACTGAGATGGTTAGGACATGTGTTACGTATGCCTAGTCATCGCCTTACTCGACGGGTAATGTTAGCTGATATAGTCTGTCTGTCTTTTTTCGACATGGAACTTTGCACATATGTGCGGTAGTTCAAGCTGATATAGGGTCAGGCTAGAAAAGAACTAGCCGCTGTCAAACAAAAACATGGCACTAGTCAATGGAATCCACAACAATTAGTCCAAGCCACGTAGGAAGGTGTAGACTTCCTGACTGTTTAGGGTCCTCGGGACGGTAAAAATCTATGGTTGGAAACAATTGGTGACATGGCTCAAAATCGTTCTCAATGGATGGCGCAGATGCATCCACTCCTTGTGACTTATGATTTCCAATGAAACTGTTTTGTTCTTCGTTATTACTCCTCCTTTGTCTCACACCTCTGTTCACTGTCTCTATTATGCATTTCTTCTACTTTCTTCTCTTGCTTTGTGTGCTACAAGGAGGGAGTGTGGCGACTTGAACTGTGGCACATCGGTGCAAAGTTCTATGGCGAAAACAGACAGACAGACAGTATCAACTATGAGTGATGTAAGATCTTTGCTAACAAGTTTCAGAAGCTGCTATCGCACAAAGATCCTCGATAGAAACATTCAAATCCCTTCGTGTTCACCGACGTGTCTTAGTCAAATGTCGACTTTTGATGAGTCACGGGGTTATGACAAAATTAGACAAAAATGTGATGAAAGTCAAACATCAGATAGACAGTCACACACATATAGCGTGTTAACGGAGAGCTATAAAACCTGAGCCTGTTGTAAACTATCGCGTGAAAAGTTTGCGTCTAATGCTCTGTGTCGTATATAATCAGTGTCTCTACTTTTTATCTCTTCCACATATGTGCTGATAGAATTTTTGTATAACTTAACGAGAATTAATCACACAGCCGGAGATTTATTATACTACTAATGCGATAACACCCTATACTAGGTAAAGAAACCGACCAAATGATTAGTCCTCTGGATATATTGATTGACAACCTAAGATGTCTTTCAACTCACAAATGAAAATTATTGTTTCAGGACTAATGTGCACCGATACTCCAACTGATAGGAAGCAAAGTCACGATGGACTGGTGACTGACGAAGCCTTCGAATAGATATAAAGAATTTTTCCCAACTAAGTCCCGGCCGACGCACTCCTTTACCTTGCTAAGCCAGAAATAATGCTGGTAAAGAGGAAAGGTCGGGCATTAGGCTAGCAACCCCATCCTGTAAAATAAACACTGCTAAAGAAAGTTCAAGCCACTTGCTTGAAGCCCTATGTTCCACTAGGGAACGTGAGGGAAAAAAAGTCTAATTTGGATTCAAACGAGATACCCAACCACCCTTTAGTGACAACACTACCCAGTAGTGGACCTTACTCAAATATGTGTCTGTGTAATAAAACTAATTTGGATAACGTGAAAAGCGAAACTTCTGTAGCACCGTCTGTGTGCAATATAGCAATTTCATGAGCAGTGTAAAATTCAGCCACATTCTCTTGGACAAACAAGTTGATTTGGAGGTACACTTTCATAGCATCAGATGGCTACTGTGCGGATAAATGTGTGGTGAAAATAAAGCTGCAGAAAGCTAAAGATAAGCAAACTAAGCGACAACAACAATCCATGAAGACACCAAGCCTTAATCTGAGCGTTTAAGTAGCCATAACACCAACCCATAGATTAAACCTAACTAGGTGGAGACGAGTTTTGACACAAACGCACCATTTGAAAGTTAAACCACTGGAGGGGAGGCACTTTTACTCAGTCCAAGTGATTTTTAGATGTGGTACATCAGTGGCTTAAGCACTTGACTCCTAACCAATAGGTCCCGAGGTTCGAATGCAACCGGCCCCACTTACTTCAGCTTGAACAACTGGGTAGCGTCATTGGCCCTCACAGAATAATTGTGTGGTTCACAGCCCGGTAAAGCGTAACTAACTCCCGACTAAACTATTGTATTTGATTCAGAACAAAAAGTAGTGAGGGGAACATGTTTATTTATAATCTTCATCACAAGAATAACGTCGCATACACGTTATCGCATCTTACGCCATTTGATTGTATCATTTTCATCTCCTTATATCTTCCCCTTTATGGCTTACTACCTAATATACTGAAGTGAAGCACAGTAGATCAGAACACTCCGCGTTACTTTATTGGTGTTAAAGGGCTGGAGACGATCGACAGGAATCCCTGTGCCTAGGTTTCGTGCTTGTTGGCACTCACCACAGTCAGCAAGGCGTATCTACAACGGTGGAAGAATTCATGTCCCCACTGAGATTAGAACCCGCATCCCGCAGTGCTGTAGTCAGAGACGTTACAATTGACCTCCTGTAGAACTGTATTTGACACTGATTAGTCCCATCCTTGTTGATGGTGGTGCAGACTGAATTCTACCACTCAAGTTTGCAATGTTGTCACCCACCTAGCTGGTTAGCCATCAAGGTGCACTCTTAGCTGATGTTGAGTGGTCCATGGTGATCGGCAGGAAGCCCTGTAACTACGTTTTGTCTGTCTGTCTGGATTCAACATAGAACTTGGCACCGAAGTGCAGCAGTTCGAGTTGCCACCTTCCAAATAGCACACAAAGGTAGACAAGAAGATGAGTGAAGTGAATCAATAGAGTTTGACAAGTATAAGAGTGAAACAGAATGGGTAATGGTAGAAAGGAATATGAAAGATTACAGAGACTGAATACATCTGCGCCATTGACAACGATTTTGAGCCATGCCACCTATTGTCTCCAACCATTGATTCCTAGAACCCGAGGCCCCCAACCCGGGAGTCTGCATCTCCCTACCTGACTCAGTTTAACTGTCAAGGATTTCATGGATTGATGAGGCCATGTTTTTGTTTGGCCACCACTGGCCCTTTTCCAGCCTGCACCTATATCAGCTAGCAATGCCCGTCGAGGGAGGCGGTGGTTAGGCATGCGCAGCACGTGACCTAGCCATCTTAGTCTATGTAACTTTATAGCCTCGTCGATTGATTTTCCCTCTTTACCCAACACTCTACGCCTAACGTCAACATGACTTACCTTATTAAACCACCTAACGTGAGACAGAGATCGCAGACATCTATGATCGAAAGCAGTCAACCTTTTCATGTCTTCAACGCATATTGGCCATGTTTCAGTGCCATAGAGAAGGACGGAGCGAACTGCTGAGCAGTACACACGTCCCTTCGTTGATAGCCGGATGTCACGCCTACGCCACAGAGGGTGTAAGTCAGCGAAAGCAGCTCGAGCTTTTCGGATCCGTGCTGAGATTTCATCGTCAATCAGTCCGTTGGTGCTAATACAACTTCCCAAATAGGTGAAGTGGTCAACATGTTCTATCACTACGTTTTGTGCCTGTTAGCACCCATCAGTAGGCCTATTAATTTACTAGTTTGTAAGTCCAGCTTCTCGCGTAAAAACAGCAGCGACTGAATAAAATGGATTCGTTTTATTTTTATAGTTTTCTAGGAGATAAGCATTAAATCAGCCACGTAGAAATATCATAATACCAATAGGAATGAAAATAACAGATGTCAGATAGACTAGACAACTTTATTAACTGATAGAAATACTTCATAGTGACCTGAGACTCGATTGTTCAAACCAGTGATTCATAGGTAGTGTCAGAACAAAAGCAGCAGATCATTTCACCCTTGTAGACTAAGTAAACCTAACATAAAATACGACTCCGACGACCAAAAGATTTGTTATGTATCCGAATATAACGAAAAACACTCACCCACTCCCTCTCCATAAACGTCAATAATAATGCATGAGATCATGACGCCATGATCTTCTAACTAAAAAATAATCTCGACAGACATTACGAGATTAATGAAGCACTGTCTATTAAGCATATAAGAAATTAAGACTGAACACCACTTAAAATAAAACAACTTGTGTATATGTATCAAATAAGTACAAGATAAGTGTGCAAGGCTTTTTTTGTTTGATCACTTAGCTTCCAAAGCAATTTTCTGTTTCTTGACACGAGCCTTCCGTTTCTCGGATACCTTTCTTTTACTTGTCTCATTTTCAAGTTCCGCGGTTGAAATATCCATTTCCTCATCTGATAATTCTGATTCTGGATCAATATCCATAAGTTCACGCTTTCTTTTAGCTATAGAGGAAATTTTTTTAAAATGAAAAGAAATTTTGACCACACTATTTAACCTACCTCCGGGAGCTTCAATCAAATGCATTTGTGTATTAACAAGTTTAATATCCTCTTCTTTACGTAACTGCACACCTTTCAATAGACGTTTTCTAATGAATGCAGATTCACGTTTTTGCTTGATTTGATCAATTTTCGGAACAGCGTTCACTGAAAAAAAAATAAACGATTAGTGTCATCTATAAAAACATACCTATTTTTTCAACTGCTGTCCTTTCATACTTGAATAAAAGATTTCGTTTCTTTTCAAATGTTTGAGCTAGATCATCAGTTAATTCTTTCCCGCGAACTCTTCTTGATACTTTAGTCCATTTAACTTTACGTGGATTTTTATGCTTTTTAAAAGCTTTATGACATTTTCCTCTACAGAAACGGAATTCCTACAACAACAACAACAACAATGACAAAATTAGTGAAACATTCCATAATTATTAAGAATATAATGAATCCTAATACGGGTTGAATGTGGTCAAATAGAAAAGTATTGTCATCTACGTATATGATTATGAGGAACAGCAATGTTTCAGATAGTGGTCAAATGTTTCTGTCAATTGATATTATTAGAGTTGTTCGTACTAAATTTAACAAAACACTGAGGTGAAATAAGGACGCCGAAGATGGACACGGACGCGGTGATGACGAATATAGCTAGTCTAACGCTAACAACATTACACAACCAGTCAATGAAATCCACAGTTGGTCTAAGCCACGTAGAAAGGTGTAGACTTCCAGGCTGGGGTCCTCGGGACGGTAAAATCTATGGTTGGAAACAATTGGCGACATGGCTCAAAACCGTTCTCATGACGCAGATGCATCCATCCTGTAACTTATGATCTTCAATGAAACTGTTTTGTATTTCTTTATTACTCCTTTGTCTCACACCTCTGCTCACTGTTTCTATTATGCTTTTCTTGTACTTTCTTCTCTTGCTTCGCGTGCTACACGGAATATGGCGACTTGAACTTCCGCACATTTGTGCAAAGTTCTATGTCGAAAACAGACAGACAGACAACACAACAGCTGTCTGTTTCCCTACCCGCCCTACTTAAGCGAGTACACACAACGACCTGAGCCAAGAAGTATATTTTAGTATTAACCACAGCATAAGTATATTTGTAAAAGGAAACAGTAAGATATATGCATATACCTGGCCAATGAAGTAGGCGTGGGAGAAGCTAACTATAAAATGATAATCCATTGTTTATCTGCTGTCTGTCTGTCGTGTAGCACGCGAAGAAGAGAAGAAAGTACAAACATAATAGAAACAGTGAGCAGAGTGTGAGACAAAGGAGTAATAAAGAAATACAAAACAGTTCATTGAAGATCATAAGTCACAAGGATGGATGCATCTGCGCACTGAGAACGTTTTGGGCCATGTCGCCAATTGTTTCCAACCATAAATTTTACATCCGAGGACCCAGCTGGAAGTCTACACCTTCCTCTCCTATATATTACACCCCTCTTCAGAAGAAATGTATTAATTGGAGTCAACCACCTGGAACTTCACCGTCTTTTACTGACTGGGAGGTCTGGTACATTTGCGGCCTACCCCCCATCGAAGCGTGACAAGCTGTGGCAACTCTTGAGAACCTCTTGTTGTTCGGGATGAGAGTTTGGCGTCAGCTAGTCGTACAGGTCTGTTTGGTAGGGAAACTGACGTAGCGCCATCTGGGGGATGTAGAGTGTAAACACTAATGAATTTTCAGCGGGCAAGTGCTAACTGGAAATGGAGTCTACGGAGACTTGTTAAGGATGGTCGTTCGTCGTTAAAACCATCTTTGTGTCCAAGATTACTGCAGTCTTAACACCACTGTCACTTATACGGACAAAATTTGATAAAAAAAATTCAGGCAACACGATGCCAGCAAGATGATGGAAGTGTCATCTTTGGATGTTTATTGGTATTGCATGAGTAACTGGGACGATGGGCATTTGAAATACGACTAAGGGGTGTTTGGCCAGAGGGTGATGCAGAGGATTGAGAGGTTCGGAGAACTTTACTGATTTTAGGACCACCCTGGCGTCCAGATTGGACTAAACTGGTTGTTTGAGGACTTTGTCTAACGTTGAAGAATCCAACAACCCTATCGCCAATATGTTATGATGTCCATAAAAGGAAGTATGCATGGCCAACGGAGTACGCGTGAGAATAGATTAACACTAAAGAATAATCTACTGTTAGTGTTAACATATCAGTTTGTTAGCATGTATTCAGAAGAGTGATATCAATCAGTTGAGATATTTACTTATGAAACTTAAGAATTTTGATATGCATTTCATTGACTTATGTGTACCTATAATCATTGCCTACTACAAGAAATTCATAGTATTTTGCTCCCAAATGATCTCCAATGCAGTCAGATCTGAAATATCACATGAAGTGAATTTACGGAACAACTATTAGTGTGTTATCTGATGTGAAATTCATGTTTACTGAAGATAAGACTGACAACCAACGAGTACTGATGTGCTCAGCTATAAATTATGATCCAGTTGAAGAAGTGATGGACCCATCATTCATTGGAGGTGATTAGCCAGTGCTTGAAACATACTAACTAGCAGGCTACCTTGATGTAGAATTTACGACAAATACAGTGTACCGGTTGGTCATTTGGAAGTAACCAGTCTCATGAGTATTGTCTATGGTGGTGCTAACTGTATTCTGTCAATGTGATCACCAATCTTAAAGACTCACCAATGCGGTGCACTTTTTTAATTAATGTTAGATGATTGAGGACAACCGGCAGGGTTTTCTCTTGCCTCCTACAATCTAACATTGAATACGGTGCATTTAGTTTACATCTTGATGACAAGGTGTTATGAATGACCTCGATTCACAGTATTTAGATGAGACTCATATAGCTACTGATCAACTTGTATATTCTTTCTAAAGGTGGGGTTAAACATACATATTAGCATATTTTCAGACGTCCTTAACCAAGAGCATTATATACATGCTTACCATTATTTATATATCTATAATGATAGGAAAATGTGTGACGGCTGCCTTTGTATGGCATATAGCAATGGCAAATAGCACTGGGCAGCACATTATATATATGTAACTGACAATTTTTAGAGATATGACTGACTGGTTTTAACATAGAACCTTCCACAGACGTGCAGCAGACCGAGCTGACACATTCCATGTACGATACAAAAGACAAAAGAGAGATTCGGAAGAACGGTAATGAGCAGAAATGTGGAAAAACATGAGGGTTTAATAGATATGCCATTTCACAAAGATTGAATGGACCCGCCCCCCTTACAACAATTAAGAGTCATACCACTAACTGCCTCAAACCGTTGGTTTGTAGAATCCTAAAGACTCCAACCGCACAGTTTACACCTCCCTATGTGGCTGGCTCAAACTAATTGTTGTGGATTTCGTTGATTGATGCCATGTTTTCATTTGACCACCACTTCCTCATTTCTAACCTGGTCTTATATCAACTAACTGTGCGTCAAGGAATGCTATGGCTAAGCATGAGCAACACATGTCTAAGTCATCCCGATCGATGTAGCTTCACAACTTCATCGATTGACTTTCCCTCCTTACCTAACACTATTGGCCTAATCATATCTTCACCCTTCAGAACATGAGCATACTTACAGTCGCTTAATATAAGTCTTTATTGACCTGAGAGTGGCATTTGACTCTCTTCATCGAGATGTACTGTGACAGTATCTGGTCGTTCATGGAGTAATGAGAAAGTATATTGCACCAATTAAGGCACTCTACTTGAACTCAGGCGGCCATGTGAGAACTTATGGAGAGTTATTATCTGAAGTCATGACAAATCAGCAGTGCTCATTAGGGATGCCTAATAAATCCTTTTTGTTTAAGTTACCCATGTATACACTATTGGATATAACCATGATCGTATTTGGCAACCTGTTTCCAGGGAATAGTCTCATCGACTTAGAGTATGCCGATAATGTTGTCCACACAGGTGAAGACACCAGGGGAAGAAAGTCCTCTGAATACCCTGAGTAGAAATTTTCGAATATTTGACATTTGATTCCTATTTATCTAATGTAAGAGGAAGCCGTACGACTGATCTTCACCAACTCCCAACTTGAAAATACGGACTGAAGGGGTTGAATATGTTGATCGTTTCATTCAACTGGGAAGCTGACTCCACCCAATAGAGTGACTGGTGACAAAATCCCTCTGCGAATACAAAAGGTTCATGTTGAGTTCATCCCTGGAGTAGACGTGATATTTTTCCAATTAGAGGACGTACACACTGCGCAGGAGTTCTCGCCGTTCTCCTTGATGGCTGAAGCAGTCGTTTAAAGTGAAAAATATGAACAGGCTAGTTGTCTTTGACTACAGATGTTCAGGTTCTATCTACCACGTTGTGGTGTAATGTAATGAGTATTCATGAAGTTACACGTAGAGTATTAATGCGTCACAGACTACATTAAAAAAGAACTACAGGTGGTGAAGTCAAAACATAATTTACACCTATGAGGTTTTTGACTGTTAGTATGAACCACGTAGGGAGGTGTAGACTGCGTGCAAGAAGCTCTTCAACTGCTAAGGACCAGTGGTTAGACAGTATTGGTGATATGGCTCAAATTTTTTTCAATAGCAAAAACGCAATCCCACTGTTAACTACCAGTCCATTTAACTTCAATTATTCGCCACAAAACTATTTTAAATTGCACATATTTCAGTATACTGCAACTTCTTTGTACTTTCACTATCTCTGCCCCAGCATGCTATTTAACAAGCATTTCAACTTTAGTACCAATCTCTGCTCTGAATATTGAGTTAATTTAAGTTACCTGTGGCATGCATTTACTTCTTAATCATCTACGTCAATCAGTCAATCAAAAAGTAACCTCAGAGATTTGAGGTCATTAAATTTTTTTAGATCTACTGTCAATAAAAGGCATATTTCTGCAGTAAAACGTGGCAGTTATAGCTACTAAGATGAAATACTTGAGGTTATTATACACAACTGAGGATATATATACTACAGAAAATTACAGTAAACGCCGTTTCAGCAACGATGTAAAATTCCGCGACGTGATATGTTAACAAGTCAACTAACGATAGGCACACTAATTCGTCAATTGGGGCTTATTTAACGTCTTCTCTTCAGCGATGGACTCTAAAACACAACGAAAGGTACGTGGGAACTACAACAATATCGAGTGGTAGCTTTGTGGGAGCAAACGAAACCTTCACTACTTGAGGGAAAATTTAATAAGGTTAGTAATTAACTCAAGCTTAAAATAAATGCGAACGTACTCCAAAAACAAGAGATGAGTTTCAATGTCAGAATGTAAGCCTAGTGAACAGATTGCTACGTAAAACAAAAGAACTGTTGTGGAAGCTGGCTTTGATAATGACAGTTACGAAAGCCTTTGCCACAGTAACAATTTATAGTTGATATAACGCAGAATACACAGTGTGAACGTTGACTTTTGACTGAAAACTTTTACACGTATTGCGCATCGTACTTCATTCGACAAGCAGTTTGACATTTTTCAACAAAACTTCAAATGAGTGTTCGCCATTTACCCACTAAGTGTCGAGGAGGATGAGAGATGATTAAAAATTGAAGTTCGACGAGAATTTATCCCTAAAATGTAACGTACACTCTGTGGCATGGAAGTAATAACAGCTATATTGCAGCATTTTACGATTAGTTTTGCATACAGTGCTAAGATAATATCGTAAATAGCAGAAGAGTTAAACTAAGAAGACTTACCTTGCAGTCATTTCTGACAAAAAGTGTCCCGTGTCCAGGATATATCGGACTCGAGCAAAACCAACACCGGTAAATCCTCATGCCGATGCTGTTACGCCGTACTGAATAACCCGCTAGAAACTTCAATCATTCAGAGCTTTTTAATGGAATGCGTGGAATGGACTTATATATCACGTTCTGTTGAAATTTCGCTGGAAATTTTTTATATGAATAATTTTTAATAAAACTGTGCTATATGTTATCTGGATTGATGGAAATTACCATTTCTTGGCTAGTTATGTTGGTGTCCCGGTCATGTGATCTGACTGTGACACACTCTTAGTATATTAGTTGCAATGATTAGTGTTTCAGGTGAATGGTGTCAAAATATAGGTATAGTTGGAGGGTCATTTCATCTACACAAATCGTCAACTCCATGTTGAAGCTGCACCTTTCGGCATAGTTTAATTCAATGAAGACTTCACGTCTCAGGATATTAATTCAACCTATTTTCGTGTAAAGAACGGACCTTTCGCTAAGCCAGTAATAAAACTGGTAAAGAGAGAAGGTTAGGTATGAGGCTAACAACCCCATCCTGTGAAAATAAACACTGCTACAGAACCTTCAAGCCACTGAGTTGAAGCCCTATATTCCACTGGGAACGTGAAGGAAAAAACAAATTGTCTGTTTAGCTGACGGACAGGCTAACAAATGTAGGTGGTTTTCATGATTGCTGCAAGTGTAGTGCAAGGTAGAAGGCAATTACTCGTTTAAATTCCCTACCTGTTTCACTTAATGCATTAATCCCAATTACTACTGATCATTGTATGGTATTATTATGCACATGGATTGTGTTGATCATGAAAACTGAATCCATTTAGCTCTAATCTTCCATCTAACACTGTATACTTAATGCTTCACTATTTTTGATCAATAAAGGAGATGAATTTCTCCTAAAATTTCCATGCACATAAACAGTAAAGACGTAGTTTCACGATTGAATGTCTTAGTTGCATTATATGACACTGTTATCCTCACCAACACAATAGGTCTATATATCCTACATTATTTAAGATTCTTATCTATGCTGCAGCAACACGTTGACACTGCATAGATGTTTAGAGTTGAGGCATGTTCAGCTTATATTTAACTGCTATAGGTTCCGTAATATGAGAATGTAATTTCAGTAGGATTCATAAAAACTATGCTTACTAGGCATTACTGAGATTGTGGATCAATTTCTAAGTTGCACATTTGCAATACCTCATTTAATGTAGACACATTTGGTAAGAATGACGCCCCAACATCATGGGTGTTTCAGAGATTGTCTTGAAATTTGCGTATAATCCTCTAATACTGGAAAGCATATGAAGTTTATTTATGCATACGGTATCAATATAAAAACCAGGTGTGGACTACAAATGCCTTTATTTGCATGAGATATTACTTAGCATTAGCAGAATCAGTGTATTCATTGTGTGTGCCAATGTGTAGAATTATCCTTTCTAACTTCATGTTGTGCTAGTTCTTTCAGGTATACGGAGGTTGTCGAATATGAAATCAGCGGATATATCATTAGGTCAAACTAACGTTAATACCCTCCATCAGAATTTTCTTTTTAAATTAATGAAAAAATACATACATGATACACCGATACCTGAGGACATTGTTAGCAGTATCACTCTTATACATTCACACACGTATAAAATTATTTGTTACAGTCGCCTGGGAAGTTTAGTTTACTAGTAGAAGTATAAAGTATAGAAGTAGCTAGTACTACAGCAACTAAATTATAGTCCATTTAGCAGGGTGAAATGGGTAGTGGAAAAATTAGCGATAAAATTATGTGTAATGATCCTGAAGAAAACAGCTGGTTAGCAGAAATATTTATATGTTATTTCATGACCAATTTTCATATGGTATCCGTAAGACATCGCAAAGTAACCCTTAAGCCTATGTTACGTTAAAAAAACGGCGAAAGGCCATTAAATCATATATTTTAGAAAAGATGTCAAAGAACATATCCCCAAGTTCCTATTGCTGTGAAGACGCCCCGCACGGATAAATACTATATACTTTATTCGACTTTAAATCCAAAACCCCAGTATTGAAAAAGTAAGTTATATTGTTTGCCAATTACAGCGGAGAACAGCAAGTCTATTAAAAATATTTAAGACAAAAGTATGGAGTACTTTTATTCGTTTTCGATCGTTGTCAATATAGTTGAAGATTGAACGATCAATTCATGGTTGTTTGCTCAAACCCAACTCCCCCATAATTTTCGCGGGTCATCAATCCGACAGTCATCGTCTCATCACTCGCTGTTCAGAAGGAAGATTATAAACTGTCAGAAGTAATATCGTTATTTATTGTTATAACATTCATTCTTGGACCTCTTTTAATAACACCATCGTTTGTTATATGTTTGCGTAAGAATGAAGAATTCTTGAGTCACCAATCTGTGTTTTGGTTTTCGCGTTGGTTAATATAAGGCGTTTCTGAACGTCTTCGATGGACAGCGTGAGGTCCAGCGTAGCGAGAGCTGGACATTGACATTCTATGAGACCTGGCTGATAGTCGCCCTCTTCGAACTTGTACACGATTGAACCATTCGCGCCTTCGAGTGCCCCACCAATGGTTTCCATTTCGGAAACCAAACGTTCGGCGTTCACCTCCGTTGAAAAAATATTTGATGACAAGTCATTATTGACTGAATAAAGCTATTTCGGTACAAAAATAGCAGTGTATTGTTAACTGTATACATAAAAATATTAAAGTTCTGGTTGCTAATATAATTGTTTCTACAGTAATTTATCCCAACACAACCTACTTAAGATTAGGGAGAATGCGAAATCAGTAAATTATTTAAACGTTTGCTGCGTAATTAGTAGAGTCGGGTCGTTTGTGCAACAAAAACTTGTCCTGCGCAACGTCGGGTGTGACTTATGTCTAGTTCTAGCGGGAAAATTGGACACAAGCCTGAATTACACAGGGGATGTATCGACGGCATATACAGCCATACACTTTGCACTTGGACAATTAGGTGCACTCACTCCTGAGCTTTTTCTAAAGTTGTACAAAACATACATCAGGCCACTTCTTGAAATGCATAATATCATTGCACCCCGACTGCTTAGAAGGGACGCAGACCTCTTGGAAAGAGTACAAAGACAGGCAAGTAAGGGAGTGACGGGTCTCCAAAACAAACCGTATGATGAAACCCTAAAGAAATTAGGTCTCTTCACACCTAGCTGCCGTAAGCTTAGGGAGACTTGATTACTGCCGACAAGATAACAAATAACCAGAATTGTCCGAACAAAGGTGTTGTGGCATTAAGTAGGCATGGACTCCCTCATGGAAATCCCCGGGGGATAGCTCATCAAAGTGCAAAAATTCGAGTGCACTCCAGCTTCCTTTCACTAAGGGTTTGCTGGGCTTGGAACTCCTTGCCGGCAGATGTAGCTATGGCACTGTCCGTGGACAGCACTAAAAGAAAGCTGGACAATCGTCCAAGGCCACAAGGACGGTGTCCAAATGCCTAACCCCTTAGAATCCTACACCATCGCTGGTTAGACATCCAAACTCGTCATTTTATTTCTTTACATTCCCTCCAGTCTCACTATTCTGACTACTCCACTAATAGTAATAATAATAGTTTACTTTATTCCGAAAACAATACTTGTGATACAGAATGAATTTTCAGTATTAATCACAGTATTACATCTATTTTCCTAAAAATATAAATAAAATTAATCGCAAAGAAAATTTCCCACATTTACAATAGGGATAATGTCAATTCTCAGACCTTACTACACTGGATCTCACGCTGTCCTTGGAAGACTTTCAGAAACTATGCTCAACAACTAGCGCGGAAAACCAGAACACAAATCGGTGAATCAAGAACCGTTTATTCTTGCACCAATACAGAGCCAACAATTAGTTCATTGTACACAAAGTCTAAGAAAAAATGTCATGACAATAAATCACAATAATGTTTCTGATAATCTTTCACTGTCCTCCAACGAACAGCGAACGATGAGACGATGCCTGCAGTATTGATGACTTCCGCGTAAAATATAGAGGAGTTGAGTTTGAGCAAATAACCATGAATTGATCGTTCAGTCTTCAACTGCATTGACAGGTCATGTCAAAAACATTATTATTGTTGTTGTCTTGGGTTCCTAGTGGAATATAGGGCTTCAACTGCACGTCTCCACTTGCCTCTGTCTTTTGCTGTACTTTTCACTTGCATCCATCCATGTTAGTCCATACTGTTTCAACTCCCCTTCACACGATCTCCTCCGTGTCACCCTTGCACTGACGTCCCATTCGCCGTTTCCCTTTCAGGTTCCACTTGAGGGTTTGACGCGCGATGTCACCAACCGGCCTCCTCAACGAGTGTCCAGTCCATCTCCACTTTCGCCCGCATATTTGTTGGGCGATTGGTTCTTGTTTCGTTTGTTAGTGCCCGTAGTTTCTTGTTGGTGATTCTTTCCGGCCATCTGATCTTCAGTAAAGAGCGAAGAGAGTTGTTGATAAATAATAATAATAATATATTCTCATATAAACATATAAATTTACATGAAAATGCATGCCAATTTTACAGGCACGATCAAGTATGATATAATATCAAATCGTAGATTGTCTACAAGTTAATAATGTTTCAACAGTTAAATATTTGATATATATATAAATACACATTGTCTGAACTAGGCTGTATAGTTACTGAATTGTACAATTGTCCTCCAGGTTGAGCGGGAAAATAGACTTTGTTTCGTTTTCATCCCGTGGTTGTCGGCATACGATAACCAACCAATATTGAGGTAAGTACAACGTTTACAACGGATTGAAAGCTGTTTCTAGAAAAGTAAAAGTGCTAAGGTGAATCAATAAAGTGTAATGAAATGGGTAAGTGCAAGTATCACTAATAAATGCATTAATATAGAAAACTCCCTAGGCTGACAACGTTCATTTGCAATGTATAATGCTACCCATATAGGTCTTGCCATCATGATGTCCACTTTTGGTTTTAATACATTTTTTCCTTATGTCTGTTTTTTTTATTTTATGCTTTTTTGTGCATTTGGTGCACAACCGTACCTCACAGAGAATAGGAATAGAATAAGTCGAATCAAATTCATAAAGAGCTATAAAATGTTAGGTTTAATGGGATACAATGAGGATTAAGTAAAGACGTTATTAGAAAATGAATCCGATAAGACATTGTGAAGTGATATTTAAAGATCCGATAATGGACAGCAAGTTAGTTTATAAGATGCCCCATAAATCTGTGCAGAGCCCGCGTGGTCGCATCT